GCTGAGCCCCGCAGAAGAGCCCATTAGAATAGATAAGGAGCAGTAGGAATTGCTGCCTGCTGCTGAAGTCATCTCTGGGCTCTTCTGCGGGCTGGAGATCGGGGCAGCTGGTTCACTTTCCGGTTCTGCCTGATGCAGAGACGGTTCCCGTAGGGCTGGATTCCAGTCGGTTTTGCTGGTGTGAACTGGGAGAGCCATCCCCCCATCCTCGGGGCTGTGGGCAGTACAAGAAGTCTGGAGAAGGTGGGTGGTTACAGCAAGAACTGGCCATCTCATCACAGTCTGCTCAGTGACATTTCCAGCCCGGCTTGCCAGATCCAGCATTTCCACCCAACCTTCATTATTCGCCAGGATGAGTGAGAGTGGCCACAGCCTGATAGGGTGACAGGAAGATCTAGCTAGTGGTGGGGAAAGAAACTCCCCGTATGGAATGAGGAAGACGACGGTGGCTATTGGGAGATCAGATCTACGCAAGCGCTCCGAGAGCTGCGACAGGGTAACTCACGCCTCGAGGCCAGGGCTGTGCTCACGCTCCGCTGGGAGAGGGGTCTTCCTCGCTGATGGGGACAGGGCAGTTCTTGGAGGACTTCTTGGACTTCTTTCCAGGGGACATGGTCTGGAGCCGGGTCTCACCAAGGCAATGGTTCCGTGTAGCTGGTTGGAGATCCTCTGGGATGTCTGTGGCAGGGGGGAAGAGTCCGTGTGCGCCTTTCTGCTGTGCCCCTTGGATCGAGCAGCCCCCAGAGCAATGCCGAGAACCTCACGAGCAGGGACAGGGCTCCTCACCACTGCAAATGGGAAGGACAGCTCCCAGGTGCTCTATAGGAAAGACTTCAGAGCATCTCTTTTTTTAAAATCAATTTTTACCCCACGAGTGATAAGTAGTAATTTGATTCAATTCCAACCAGCAGCTAAACAATATTTGTATTTGGTTTCCCAGAAAAGTTCCCCTTCATGTTTTCCAATGGGATCTACATTATTATTATTATTTATGGTTGCTCCAGTGTATGCCCCAGGAGGTCCACGAGCCTTCTCAGGTCAAACCATGATTTAGTAACTTGTACAGGATAAGACCCTGCAAATTTCTAGATGCCTTTTCAGGCCGCTAAGCTTTATTCATGTGAGTTCCTACCATACCTTTATTTAATGGGTATATTTCCAGTGGAGGCCCAAGCTGCAAGGGCAGGACATCATGATCTTTATCTGTTGTCATGCAAGGCTCGGAACAAGTTCTGACTTGACATTTGCTAGTAGGCAGGGAAAAGTCACCAGCCTTCACTGGTGACACTAGTCATCCTCACAGCTGGCTGCAGCCTCACCAAAGCCCCTTTTACCTGCTCTTTCAAGTTTTCTGTGGATTCAGGTAAGTGAATCCGGTGCCAGAACAGAACCATGCACATGCGTGTGGATGTGGCTCCAGTTCCCACAGCCAGGAATGCTGCTCCAGGTCTGGAAGTCTCAGGGCCCAGTGCCCAGTCTTTCAGTGCCCAATTCCTTCCCTCTCTGGGTGCCTTTTGTTCATTCACTACCCTAGCTCCACCTGCTTTGATCTGGCAAAGGTGGCCGAAGTGATGGGGAAAAAGCCTGAAAACATTAGGCAAGTGCTGGCCGCTCTCACCAGTTCTGCAATGCCGGTTTCTTGGAGGACGGTGCTTGGGGAGGTCCTGCTGCTTGGTGAGTTTCGTGGTCCTGTAGACTTTTCTGCAGACAAAAACACAAGCAGTGACCGTGACGGCCCCACAGGATGGCTCCCAATTGCCCCACATTCTTCTCCCACGTGCCAGAGTCTCACAGCTGCTGCTGATGGTGGCATGGAAACCCTGAACACCCTGGCAGGCATCGAGCATTTTCTAGGGAAGCTTTCTTGCCAAATTTGGGCTGAGATTTCTGCCCGACTCAAGCCAGCACCAGAATTAATGTATCCTCTATTGCACAGGGGGTGGGCAGCAAGGCAAACAGTTTTTGCACCAAAAGGGTAGTGAGTCCACACTTGCATTACATTTTTCTTACAGTAGTGGCACCCAGGCATCTCCAAGGGCTGTTTGCCCTAAAACAGAGCAGTGTGTTTATCTCTTGACACGCAGTTTCCCACACAGTGGCTCTTCTGACTACAGCAATCTCTACAGAACCTTCCAAAAACTTGGTCTCCGCTTCCCCTCAGCTCTCACCTTCTGCCAGCTCGAGGCCGGGCACATCATGGTGCACATCATGGTGCACATCACGGTTCTCCTCTTCAGCACCTCCCCGAGGTGCTTTGTCGCTGCCAGGAGTCCTGCTCCCTGGGGACAGCAAAGCCAAGGGGGAGCTGGGGCTGGAGCTGCTTTCTCTGGAGATGACTCCTGGGTGCTTTATCCTGTCCCTGTTGAAAGGAGAGGGGCACAAATGACTGAAGAGGCAGGAGAAGGAGAGCGCTCCTTTGAGACACAGAACTGTGAGCTCTGAGGTACAGAGCCTGATGGATACATGGATATCCAACTCCAGCTATTGCAGAAGTTTGGTGAGGAATGGTCTGTCTCTGGCTGGGCTTTTTAGCCTGATGGAGTAGGGTGGATTTATCACACGGATTTGGGGACAGTCATCCTCTACCATTTCCAGGCAATGGGCCTGATGCTCTCAGTGAGTATGAGGGACTTGCTGTGAGACTCGAAACCCTATGCCCACCGTAAGTACTCCCTGATGGAGACCCCCCTGTTTTTGGCTGAAAATATCTGTTGAGCAGCACAGGGAAGAGTACAGATCTAGGGCTAGGAAAATCCTATGGCCTTGGAAGGCATTGGGACATAAAAGTGAGAGTTTCTCTTTAAACAGATGGGGCTTTCTGATCTCCAAAGAAAACACATTTCCAAACTAATCCCTTGGTGCTAATTCCTCTGGACTTTAAACCCTTGAGGAATGAGCTGATTTGTATATATTGGCTAGTGTGACAGGTTACTTGGCTTTCACCACAGCACTCTGCAAAGATACTAACCTGTTGGAGCAAATCACTTCTCCCTCTTTACCTTGGCTCAGTCCTTTCCTCGCTTGTAGCTCTTCCACACAACGCAGCCTGTTTCTTGCTCTACTGACTCAGGCACCTGCCTCTGCACAGGGTCCCACACACATGCAGAGCCCCTTGATTTTGCAAAGAGGTGCTGGGTATTGCTAGGGGTCTATCCTGTTCATGCTGCTGGCATGGAAAAGCTGTGAAATCCTACAGCGAAGGCGGTGGCCAAGCAGACCCGTTTCACTTCCCATGATAGCCCACCATGGGTGGGCTAATGGGAAATGCAGGACCAGAAAACACCCGCATCTTTCCTGGACACCCCTGCCCTTCTCATCCCACTACATCCTGTCTCAATCATGCCTTGCTCCAAAGAACCCACAGATTAAATCCTTGGGTGCAGGTGACCGGGGGAGTGAGCAGATGTCAGAAGAGATTTCGATCATTAGAGGTGTTCTGGTGTCTGTTTTCTACTGGAACCTGTGGGAGCCAGACACTAAAACACCCGAGGATGCTGTGGTTGGACCATAACCCTGCTGAGCTATAGGAAAGCCTCTAGCCAGACCAACATGCCACGTGAAGAATTAAACCCAGAGGAGCTTACTCCAGGCTTCGGAGCCTCTTCAGGTCTTCCTTCAGAGTTTTGTTCTCTTCCTTCAGGCGGTTCATTTCGTTAGCTGCAGAGAGAGGCAAGGGGTTAAGGTGGTGCCAGGGGATGCTGGAGCTCCCCATAGGCTGCTGTGGTGCCGTGCCAGGGAGAGGGGACCACAGCAGACCTCGTCTGGCTTTCCTTCCTTCTCCAAAATGTGCTGGGTGCTGAGAATAGAAGGAAGCAACTGTCTGACCAGAGCTTGGCCAGGACCAGAAGTCTCTTAGACCTCCTTTGTTCCTGGAGAGAGTGTGACAGTGACAGGTGACCAGGGAAGACATGGCACAGCAGGAGCAATGCAGCCAGCATTGCCTTTCCACCACATTACAGCTAGAAAGCAGCACTCTGGAAAGCAGGAGGGACAGCATGAGGTGGGATAAACAGCTCGGCCAAGCTGCCACCGAACCCTCCCTGCTGCCAGGGCTTCTTCCCAATCCTCTGCCCGTGGGCAAACACCTCCCTCCCTGACCAGGGAAAGTTGAGCTCAGAGCAGACCTCGGTACATACTGAGGATGAAGATGTGCTGCAGGCTCTGGAAATGGGACGTCTCGTACTCGTTCTGCTTCTTTTTCGCCAGTTCCTGGGTGACCATGCATCTGTCGCAGAGACCCGCGCGCAGCCTGGGGGCAGAGCCAAGACCTGGGTTATCCGAGACCTGGCACCCTGATGTCACCCTCGCCACGGCGCACAGCCACCCCATGTCCTGCCATGGTGAGGGGACATTGCCATCCATGCAGCCCAGCCTCTGAGTCCCCCATATCCAATCCTACCACCACTCATTTTTTGGAAACACCTTTGCATTTGCTGGTATGGGAGCTGGCATCCCCTGGTGATGAGAAAAGACCCCCCCCTACTGCAGCTCACTGCTGGGATACCCTGAAAAATCAGGCTGTTCTTGCAGGAGGGGACACTCACCACCCCCAAACAGTGCTTTCTTCAAAAAGAAATCTCACCTGTTTTCTAATACTTTTACATTTTCCTTAAGGACCTTCTGCTGCTCCCTTAACTGGTGATTTTTTGCAAACAGCTCTTCAATCCGCTGGGCATCACTGATACGAGAGAGAGCACAGAGCAAGAGAAAAAAAAGGTTACTGGTTTTCCCCCAGAGCCTGTGGCTTTATCCCTGGGCACTGCTCACAGGAGGGATTTCTCCTCTGCATTGCTTTGCTGCTGCACTGAAGGACTACAGGTCTGGGGTGCAGGAATTGCAGGAAGCCGGGATGCAGGAGAGCTGGCAGACAAGGACTAGTGCAAGGAAAGCCCTGTTCAGCCCTGAGGGAAATGCAGGGGAGGAAGAGGAAGCCAGTTTGTGTGGGCACTGGTGAGGGCACTCGTGGTTTGGTGGGATTTCATCTAAGTCACTCCTCAGCCCTTGTTCTAGGAATAACCAAACTGTCTCAGGGAAAACATCGCCCCAAGCTGTGTCCATGCATGGCAATGCCCAAGCTAAGCCGAGCAACACTTTCCAAAGCTCTCGGCACTTTTGCAGGCATCTCAAGGCACAGAAGCTTCTAGGAAGGTCTTAAAATACCATGGAGCCACCTCTCGCCCACCCACAGCACGTGTGGGGCCCGTGTCACTCACCGGCATTTCTCCGTCGTCAGCTCCGTTAGCTTTGTTTGCAGACCTGGAATGAGGAGCAGAGTCTGAGAACTGGGCGTTTATTGCAGATCCTGAGGTGGTTTGGAAGTAAAAATGTAGCAGCCTGACTTCAGGAGGGGGCATCACTTTAAGTAAGTGGCATCAATTTCCAGACCCTATTCCTTATTTGCCTGTGTTAAATGACAGCAGCTTAACAGAATGGGAAAAGTTGTACCAAATGTGAGGACATTTTGTATTTTCATGATTTAATGTGTTTACACTCCACCCTCGCAGTCTGTTCCGTTTTACTTCTAGTTACACCACGCATTTCCCAGGTGGGCAGTATTTTATAATTCTTGGGACTGCAAAGCATCCCGGAGAATATTTACAGCTCAACAAGAACTGCTTTCACTGATGGATCTGCAGACATTAGGTTCTGCCAGCTCTGTTTTATGCAAAATAGCTGCAAGCGTGCACTTTAAATTGCTCAACAGCTTCCTCTGTGCTCTCCCATGGCCTAAAATTACACAAGACAAGAATGAATTCATAAGCCCGAATCCAGCGAAAGCGCTGCTGTTGTGCTCATAATATTAATACTGGGAATTATTCTAATAGGAAAACAATTGGATTTGGCATTTGTTTGCTTAACTTAATGGTCCTGATTTTAGTAATGTATGACTTGGCAACTCCCTCGGGGACTGAACTATCCATCCTTATTCTACAGTTTACTTTAGCAGAGGCTCGTAGCCCTGCTCCTTCTGCCTTCCAGGTTATTGCAGCTTCCCACTTCCTCACATTCAGTATTTACTAATCGTCCAAGGCCCCATGGCCTCGGCCCCAGGTGCAGCCATGATCCCTGAGGACTTTCCCAGGCTGCTGGGTGAGCTCAGGCAATAGCAGCACTTGGGAGTTTGGTTTTATCATGGATATGGCAGCAGGGCAGGAAAGGGTCAAATCCTCTGTGATTAACTCCAAGCGATCCCCACAGTCACTGAGCCTCCCTGGGGACCACAAAATCAGGCATAAAAACAGGCTCTTTCCTCCCTTCCTCCTTATAGCCCCAAGAGGCGCTGATTTTCTCCATGAACCTCAGCCTCCACCTGAACGATGGGTCAAGGACATCAAGGTGCCATGAGCCTTTCCATTCCCATGGACCCAGTGCCCCTGCTTCTCATGTCCCTTACCTTGGACCTCCTTCTCATGGATTTCCTTGAGCTTATTCAGGAATTCTGCAAAGCTCTCCGTGCTCATGTTCAGGGCTGTGCCGATGCTCTGCTTGCACCTCCTTTCCTTCTAAATCATTTGGCTTCTAGTCTAGAGGACACACACACAGAAAGCCTCCAGTAAAACAGAAGTGCCTGAGTATTTTGGGTACCTGGTGTTTTGCAAAGTCTTAGGACAAGGGAGAGTTGCCGCAGTAGAGAAGGCAAAAAACATTTGCAGAACTAAACTGAAAAAGGAGAACAACAAGTAGCATGCTTGTGCAGAGACAGATTTTCGAACCTGTGCAGCTTGCGCAAAGGTGGCACATGGTGCCCCACAGCCTGGCCAGCATCGTCCGCTCTCCGTGGAATGCAACTCCGAACCCTCGGGAATCACAAACTCGGAGCGTATTAGCCCTGTTGTGCGGATGAGTCTGGGGACGGGGAGCACCCTTGGGTGCTCAGCCTGCCCTGGGGCGCTCCCGGCTCTGGAGCCCCCGTTGGAGCTCCCAGCACCCTGTGCTCGCTCAGCTCCGGCGGCAGCGCCCCGCGGTCCTTGGGGGTGGGCAACACACTCCGCTTCCCAGAAACAGCCGGCTGCTTCCTTCCCCATTGCAAACCCTCCAAAGACCAGACAGGCAGACAGCAGCCCGGGACACATCCAGCACCATCCACTGCACAACGCACCACAAATGCAACCCCCGCCCCAAATGATTCCGCTTCTAAAATTTTACTTTAAACTCATCATTTTTGGCCAGTGGAGATTAACAGGCAAGAGAGGCCACCAACGGCCCCTCAGTGCCTCTGCAAAGGGATCAGAGAGGTGGCAGGAGGACTCTGCAGCAGCTGTTGCAGCCCCAGCGCTGCTCGCTTGCCCGCGCGCTGCTCTCTGCATGCAGAGCGGAGGAGCGCCCCGCTGCTGCATATGCAAAACGTGGGCACGTGGAGCTGCGAGGAGAACCTTTCCCCTAAAGGGTGTCATTTTATAAAGAAATGAGGCACGCGCAGGCGAGCCCTGGCAGTGGGTGCCGCTTGCTCGCTCCGAGAGCACTCAGAGCAGGGAAACAGCAACCTGGTAAACGCAGCACTGGCCAAGAGAACAGGAGCTTGCAACCGACATCCCAGCTGCAAAAACTCATTGCAAAGGAGTTTCACCTTGTACAAATGGAGTAGAAAATTCCTCACCTTAGGAAACAAGCCAAAAGAAACCCATCGTGCCTGCTTCCCGGGACACCAACAGCGTTGCAGTGCTGGCTGATGCCTCGCGGCGAGTGAAGCGCGGCCGGCGCCGCATGTCGCGGCTCGCAGGGCGAAGCCGACGTGAAATGGCATTAGGAACTGATCTCCCAGCTTGGCCTCGGGAGCTGTGGTTTAATAATGAGCCAGGAGCAATAACTCCTGGCTCCACTCCAAGCACT